TAAAACCTGGCTGTGTCGGCAGGCCTGGGGTCGATGAGTTCCCTTCCCCTCTCGAATCATGTGGCTGTTGGTTGTTTTTAAATGCCCTGTATTTTTGTAGTTTTTGTAGTCCCCTTCCCCTCCTTGGGTTTGTGCGCCGCCCTGAGTCCCGCAGGGAATAGGGCGGCATATAAATAAAATGAAACTCAAACTCATATTGCAGATTTTGAGTAAATGAGGGAGGGTAACAAAGACTTGAGTAAACTCCTGAGGATGCTGGTGAATATGGTGAGATTGCCCTTACACTTCCTTTGATTAACACATGCTTCATTCTACAGGGTTTAGTTATTGCACTAAGTCACAAAGCTACTTGTTTAATTTAGTCTGATGAATAAGGCCCGTCACTGTGGCTTGTAAAACATGCTTTCTGTTAGTAATTGTAGGTACTATGGTTTACAAATTTAAAATAACAAAACAATGAACGTGGCAATGGTTGTACAAGTTTCAACACCATTCCAGTGATTCAGCATTACCCCCCCCCCCCGATGTTTGGAATAAGAGCTAAAAAGTTATTAACTGATTAGGTTTACAGTTAGCTGCCAAATTCTATAGGTCAATTCTGACTCTTCTATTTGTTCAGGTCGCGATTGTTCTCTCTACTTTTAACAAACATGGGTCGTGTAAGCAATTGTCTGAGCACTTAAAAATGAAGATCATTCACAATCAAGGCACAAATTCCTGCAAGCTCAAGGGTAAAAAAAAAAAAGCGAAGAAATGGAAGCCATTGTGGAACTGATGAAGCCAAGACAAGGCCTAGAAAAAATAGTTAATTGTTCTCAAATCTGTCATACCTGCAAACAGAATTCCCAGATCACTGCATACTACCTGCTGAAAAGGTTACATGGTTATGCATTGATTAACTAACTTCAAATCTATTGTCTAGTTTTAAGAATATTCATCTTTCTTTTCCATAGTTTACCACACAGAGACCTTTTTTTCGCATCGGAATACGTTATAGAATAAAACCTAAAACATGGCCAAGGTGATCACAATGCTTCAAACCCTCAGAAATCACTGGAAGAAGACTACAGTTGGGATCTGCCTGGTTACATGGGGAGGAAACTGGCTTTATGGAAAACACTGGTAATTATTTTGGAATCTTTCCATGATTTGGATTGAATTTTAAAAAAAAACACTCCAAGCCAAACAGAAGTGGCAAAAGAGCTATAGAATGTCATCTAGTTAGTTTTTGCTCTTTGTTGTAACCAAGAAATGTTTTGAATTGGAGCAGAGGAATGAGGGAGGAATGACCATCCAAGCTAATTTTTTTCTCTCCACCATATGAAGCTAACTGGATTTGATAGCTTTTCTGAATATCCTACGAAAGCAGGTCAGGGAATTTTAAAGATTTTGGAGAGTTGTTTGTGTGTGCATAATCTCAAAATCCGTGTATAAAATTATGAATAGCTTAAGCAATTGGGTCAGCAAGAGACTGAATTTCCATTTTATGTATCTGCAAGAGAGAAACATCTTTGGGTAGGTTTTGTGAACTTAATTCCTATTTTTTCCCCTCAAGAATCAGGAGGGAAAATTATTATGGGGAAAGAAAATGCATTTTAGATTAAAACATCAATTCGCTTTATTTTAGGTCAAAATTAAATGATGAATGTAGGTAGTCTTCAACTTACAACAGTTCTTTTAGTGACTGTTTTGAAGTCACAATCGCACTGGAAAAAAAATTTATGACCATTTTCCACACATTGTATCCCCATAGTCACATGATCAAAATTTAGATGCTTGGCCTCTGACTCATATCTATAATGGTTATGGTTGTCCCGGAGTCACGTGGTCACCTTTTGTAATCTTCTCAATAGGGAACCAGATTCACTTATTAACTGTTACTAACTTAATAACTTCAGTGATTCACTTAACAACTGTGGCAAGAAAGATCATAAAATGTGGCAAAATTCATTTAACAAATGTTTTGCTTAGCAATTTAATTTGGAGGTGAATTGTGGTCATAAGTCAAGGACTACCTGTAATTTGAAGAGTGCTATATTTATTTAGATATACTAATTTAAAGGTAATCTCTAGATCCATGTACTGTAATTCAATGTACTAGCTGCTACTAAAAAATATACATGTGATCATAGTACTTTCAAACAATGGTATGTCCCATTGACTTTAGAATAGAATAAGTGAGAAGGGACCTTGGAAGTCTTCTAGTCCAATATTCATTAAAGGCCAACTTCTCTCCACCGCCCTCCATTAATTAGTTGATTGCTTGAATTGCTTTTACTCTTAGGCAATTTCTTCTAACATCCATCCCAAATATGCCTTCTGTAATGGAATATGTGAATGATCTTGGGAAACACGGAGAACAGATATTGTCTATGAAACAGCTGGACAAGATAGAGAAGTCCCAAAAGGCACCAGAGGAAAAAAAATTGGGAAGGACCCACCCTACTTGATCAAGTAACCTTACTATAAAGTAGAATTAGCTTATCTTGTTTTCTGTCTTGTTTTAACTGGGAGATTTGACATCAATCTTGGAAATCTGAAGGTACAGATTTTCCACTGTCACTTTTAACCGTATGATCAATTAGGATGGGTCCTTTCTAAATTTCTTTCTCTGGCTGTTAATCCCTTGGGGTCTCCTCCCTCTCCTCTGATTTTTTCCTAAGCAGCATCTGTTCCCCTCATTCCCCAAGGTCATCCACATGTTCCAGTATTATCGTCCAAAGATTTTGAACCATTCAATTCCATGTCTCAAGCTCTGGGATAATAGAGAACACATCACAAGCTTCATCTGTGTGATATCTCTTCAGATGTTTGAAGCATACTATAATATCCCCAGGCTAAACAAGTCCTGTTCCCTCAATCTGTCCTCACAGACTTAGCTTGAATTGTTCCTGATGCAATAATATAGGAATAGACAGTATGGTGCTCAAAGAATAATTTATTATTATTTTTAACAAGAGGCATGCATGCTGCAAAGACGCCTTTAAGCATCATTGTCTTTATTTATAAGAAAGCCTCATTGGATCTGGTAGATTGAATTTGAATTGAATTGAATTGAATTTATTAGGTTTCTATGCCTTTTATTTTATTAGATTTCTTCTAGATAACTGTGGCTCACTTAAAAAAAAAAAAAATTAAGAGGGGATTGAGAAGGGAAGCTGCTGCTAGTATTAATTTATACATAGTTGTAAAGATTCCATTGAAATTAGTATATCTAAATCTTCTGAGCAGCTTCATGAGTAGGTTTCCTAAAGCCACGAGAGCCAAGTCAAATAGAACTGGGAAATCCAATTTACGAATGAAATAAGGTATGCTGCCCTTTGCCCCATCAAAAAGCAACAGTTGATGATGTGTTGATTATGCAGTAGGATAAAATAGATGGAAGACTGTGTCAACCTTGAGCCAGTGAGAATCAAACTACTGGCAGCTGGCAAAATTCGGCAACAATACTTTATTCTAACCACAGAGTCACCGCGGTTAGTAATGTTAACAGTCATGTTAAGAAAAATATTCCCTCAGTGCTTTGCTATCAGAGTAGTAGCTGGGAGTGGTTTTTCTCCATTCTAATCCCCCTCTTTCTTCTTGTTATACACTATATTGCCAAAAGTATTCGCTCACCTGCCTTTATTCGCATATGAACTTACTGTAAGTGACATCCCATTCCTAATCCATAGGGTTCAATATGACGTCAGTCCACCCTTTGCAGCTAAAACAGCTTCAACTCTTCTGGGAAGGCTGTCCACAAGGTTTAGGAGTGTGTTTATGGGAATTTTTTACCATTCTTCCAGAAGGGCATTTGTGAGGTCACACACTGATGTTGGAAGGGTTTATATGGCCTACCACTTCGTGGCTGAGTTGCTGTCGTTGCCAAACACTTCCACGTTCTTATAATACAGCTGACAGTTGACTGTGGAATATTTAGGAGCGAGGGAATTTCACGACTGGATTTGTTGCACAGGTGGCATCCTATCACAGTTCCACGCTGGAATTCACTGAGCTCCTGAGAGCGACCCATTCTTTCACAAATGTTTGTAAAAACAGTACTTGATTTTCTACACCTGTGGCCATGGAAGTGATTGGAACACCTGATTCTGATTATTTGGATGGGTGAGCGAATACTTTTGGCAATATAATGTATTTCCTTACTTGGTACAGGTAGGGAACTTACAACCACAATTTGGTCTAGAATTGTGGTCATATGTTGTTGCAATCATTAAAGAACCATAGGGAAATTCCAATAGGAAACAATGGCAACAACACAAGCAATCATTCTTACTTTAAGATCCGAGGTTTATTGTTTCTAATAATTTGGAACATCAGAAATGAGTAAGATATAAAATATACAATAGTAGTAATGTATTTGCATTATCAAGCCATTGCAATGTGGTCCAATGACATATAGCAGGTCCTACAAGGACTGCTATAAATCAAAAGGCCCCGAGCTGATCTTGAATCCTATTCTTTATACTTTTCTTCTAACCACATACTCGCTTCACAACTTCACTAAGGGTCACTTTCTGTAAACACCTGTGTACCTTCAAAGCTCTCGGCCATTTGTTACTTTTCCCCCGCACATGGGTGCAACCCACCCCCTCCGTGCCCCATTTTGGGCCTAGCAGGCCTCCCTCAAGCCTCATGGGACCAAAAATGGGCTGAGGGGGGGGGAGGTTTGCCACACACCCCCGCACATGCACGCACATCTTCCGCAAGTGCAACAGAGAACCAAAAATTAGCTAGTTAGCGGAAAGCAGGCGTGCATGCACAATGGAACTGAGCTGGGGCAATGGCTCATGTGCCCACAGAGAGAGCTCTATGTGCCACCTGTGGCACACGTGCCATAGGTTCACCATCAAGAGGCTATATTTTTGTTTCCCACACCAAGTTGCCTAATGACCACAGCCTGGCTCTCTCAGTTGTGGTTGTTAAGCAGCTATATGGCTTGTTAAGTAGACAGAGCAAAAGAGTTGCCTGCCAAAGAAAGCACTGGATGGTGAATGGAAGGGAACTCCTGTGCTGGACTGGAGAAAAACAGGCCTTTTCCTCCCCTCCGTATCAGGAAGACAACCATAGCTGAGTTTGGAGAAAGTAAGTTTTTTTTATTTTTAGGATCCAAGCTTGCTTTGTTTGGTCTGCTAAGGGGGTTCACCTCCCTTCCGTATATTAACCTTCTTATCCTTCCAATTGTTTTCAGTTTTAGAGCTGGTTTTTAAATAGTATTTGATAAAATGTCTTCAATTCATCAAAAGTCTACTACTGTATTGGTATAAAAGTGTCCCTATTTCTTAACATGCAGGACGTATCCCTCGGAACACTAAGAGGAATTCTAAAACCTCTAAGGAACCCTTTGATAAATATTCCAATTAGGGGTAATTGGAGTAATTTATTATTTATACATTCTCTTGCTTTAGGAAGCTTGTTTCTCTTTGCCCCATTATTTTTCACTAAAGGTTTCCCATAGCGTGTTTCTCTTGTTGCTTACTTTGAATTTCTCCTGATTGGTTTTTTTATTGTAAATCAATGTTCTTACCACTGGAAAGGTTACTGTGGTAGGAAGTGACTTGGTTTGAATAAAAAGTTGCTTGATTGAACTAATTTTGAGTGGCACCAAAGAACAGACCATGGAGAGGATATGCAAAGTAAGTTGCAAATATTATAAGGCAAGGGTGTCAAACTCAATTTCATCGAGGGCCAATCATGAAACATGAAACTTAGCCAAGTGAACATTCAAAAATGCATCACAAATACCATTGACTGGTGCTAATGGTTGATACAGGTTGCTGCCAGCGTCCTAGTACCTTTTTAAAGTAGTACCAAGTACCTTCTTAAAATATACAATGTTCTGAGCAGAACAGTTTTTTGCAGTTCTGCTGGTGTTATTGCAAGAAGCTACAATTTGTGGATGTATCTTATAAAATTCTTGAACATGGTACCAAGTGCCCCGATGACAATGGGTATCACTGTTACATGCTTCATCCATAGCCGTGTAGTTTTGATGCCTAGGTCGCGATATGTCGTGATTTTTTTCTAGTTGTTTTTCTTCGACTCTGGCATCTCCTGGTACAGTGATATCAATAAACTGTACACTTCAGCCCTCTACAACTGATATCTGGCGTATTGTGTTCCAAATGACGATCCGTCTGTATTTGAAAGTCCCACAAGATTATTCACCTTCTCATTTTCAATACTTTTTCCACTTTATGTTCCTTTATATTATTATTATTTTATATTATTTATATTTATATTATTATGCTTTATATAAAGAGATGCTAACACTTTTGAGCAATCTTGTCAAAGACTTATGCTTTATATAAAGAGATGCTAACACTTTTGAG